ATAGCGGAGCCGGTTAAACAGAATGTTCGCGAATCACTTTCGTCGTCACCTTTTTTTGGATTTCAACTTAGCAAATCAATTTAGTTTACATTTTTTATACAGTTTAAAGTACAAAGAATTAAAGTTTTTACTGTACGTATTAGAGTTGTAGGACTCCACAATAATAACCTAATTTTTCTATTTTTCAGAAGTCGTTATTATGCTAACTTCTTAGTGGCGTTCAATGAGTCGGATCAGGTTGGATTTAATCTAGATACGGGTCAAAATCAAATTTTTTTGAAACAACTATAAAAACATAAAAACTCATTTTTAAAAATGGGCTATTTTAACCGAAAAATTTTCCGACGGTTGATTTAATGTAGCGTGATGTTATGTAGCGTGATGTATCTATATAAAATCGATCGGTGTAACATATCTCCTGACCGAACTTTATTTTTTTTAAATGTATCAACCACCACATATACATCCACCGTCTTCGCCTATTGACGTCTTTCCGAGTCCTCAAAACATTCTCCGCTTCCGTGACTTTCACGCTAGACACTTTACTCAAAAAAACTTTTTTCTACACGCACTAAATCCAAACCCATGGCCTTTGTGGGGTACTACTGAAGGATCAGAGAATTGGGAGCAAGGACCCGACCTTGCCGAAACTTATGATGCATATGAAGAAGGATGGAATGCAGAAGAAGGATGGAATGCAGAAGAGGAATGGAATGCAGAAGAAGAAGAATGGAATGCGGAAGAAGAGGAGGAAGAGAAAGTAGAGTTTGTATTGAGTGAAGAAGCTATCTCGATGTTTCGGTTTTCTGAGTTAAGAAAACAACAACGTAATTTCTTCAGAAATCCGTTAGATATTGGATCTCTTGCAGTATATGTAATTCCTTTGCCAAAATGTATTATAATTATAAATTGGCCACCTATACTGCAAGAGATCATAGATATTTATTCAAATTGATACTAATCAATTCATTTTTTATAATTTAACTTCCTTTAGTTGCAGAAGCAAATCCATCGTCTGCATCTAAAAGTCAATCCTCCGAGCAATTTGATGATTTATCAACATCTATGTATCTTACCTCTGAACCAGATCCATCTCTAATTTCACCAACAAACTTAACTACTGTAGAATTACAACAATTATATGGTGATTCTTATCCAACTATAAACATTTTAGAAGCAGCATTGAATTCTACTTATATTCAAAGTTGTAAAGTTGATAAAGATCACGATGATGAAAATCGTAATGAGATAAATGAGATAGTATATTGGCCTGTCATACCTTTAAGATTTGTTTAATAGATAATGATAAACAAAGGTAAGCAAATTATTTAGATTATATGATTATATTCTCATTTATGATCAACATTTTATCCACAATGATGATAAAATGTCTCATCCTTGTACTTTGAATGAACATTACTCCTGGGTATTGGTCATCGTGACGACAACATAATTGGCCAAAATTTAAACCTGAGTGGATGAACAATTCATAAAAATTAATTTTATATTAAGTATATAGATTTACTAATCTATTTTCTTAATTTTTTATTTAACTATTGTTACTAGCTGAAATTTTATTATCTAGTCTTTAGTATTAGAATGCACTCGTTATAGCGTCGTGCGCGAGCAGTGATACTTTTACTATTGCGATCGTATACATTTACTGCCAATCCATTATGTTCTCCGGGTCTTATTGTATAAGCCCTAGTTAATTAATGAACCGAAGTGAATAAATAAAGATAAAATTCATTAACAATAATGAAATATACTATAAAAAATAGAATTTTAAGGTATATAGTATTCATAACTATACTAGAGTTTTGACACAAGGTATCGATTAGTGATGCAAACGGCTGGCCTGACTCGGCTTACGGCTAGTTTTGACCAAGCAGACCATTGCCGATTCATTTATAATTGTGCCGTTATTCTAATTAAAAACTAATCGGAACTAAAACAAACTATTGCTCATAGATACTCGATGCGACATTTCAACTGGATTCAAATTGCAAAGCTAAAAATGGATTTCTGGCTGTCGTTGTGCATTGGCCAATGGTCATGTGATAATGTATCGGCACATTGAGCTTCATAACGATAGTCTTGAACCGAGCTGAGCCGTTTCTATACGTACTAGGGATCTGCAAATGCCCATGCCTGACACATTGGGCACTAGTGCCTAAGCCCATGCCTATTAAAGGTATGGCATATAGTACTAGGCACTATTAAAGGTATGGGCACAAAGTGCCAGGCACTAGTAAACAGTGTTGGCGGTTAGGCGAATTCGGACATATAAAATTTTATTTGGACAAATTTGGATATATAAAATTTTATGTCCATATGTCCCGAAATTTTTATTGGATATAATCCAAATGCCGTAAAGGTATGGGAACAAAGTGCTAGGCACAAGGAACCAGGCACAAGTGCCAAGCAAAATACCAGGCACAATTAAATAATAAATATCAAATTTTTGTACCTATGCCTATGCTCATGCTCATGCCCAGTTTTTGCGCCTATACTTGAGCATTCATGCCCAGTTTTTGCGCCCATGTTCATGCCTATACTTGAGCATTCATGCCCGTATCCATGCCCATGTTTGAGTGTTGGGCACGGGCACAGGCACAGCCCGGGTTGCAGACCCTAGTACGTACTTACGTAGCTGAACGGTTAACAACTCGGTATAGCCGTTTGGCTCGCGATTCGGTTCAAGCCATTGCATCGCTACTACCGATTCAATAAATTATTCATAACCTAAGACTGAAAGATTTTGTTTCCTTAGAATGAATAAATAGTTTAACTATGGCTTTTATTATAAATAGTTTAACTATGGCTTTTATTTTATAGAACCACGGTTACTTCTGTATGCTCATAAATAGTTCGCAAAGAATTTGCGTTTTTTCGACTTAACTAGCTGTTTAAACCTCTAACAACAGGTATAAAACTTGGATCTAGCTTAGGCACAAGTAGTTTCATAGATTGTAAATCTCGTTCAATTGCTTTTATATTATCGCGTGCCTCCTTTTAGAAAATCAGGAACAAATTTAATTGCTTGATCGTTCAAATAAAATTAAAAAATTAGAATAATTAATAAACCTCAACAATTTTCTCAACTTTATCCAATCCGCTGCTTGTTTGAGACAAAACATGAGTTACTTGAGACAACTGATCATTTGAATGGTTTACTAATTCTTGTCGGAATCGATGGCTTATTTCACCTTTTAAAGACATTAATTAATAATTATATTATTGATAATTAATAATAAAGAAACAAGTTATATTTACTTAATTCCTGTTGAGAAGTTGGATCCCTGGTAAAAAATTCATATTATTAGTATATGGAAACAACACAAAATTTTTAATTATTCGATATCGGCTCACTTTTTTGTCGAACTGGTCATCATTGTTGAGAAAGATGATGTCAATGTAATGCAAACGCTAAATATAATAATTTGATCACGTGATAAAGTCATCTGCTCTCAGTCAATTAAAATCCTGTACTAACAAAAAATTTTACTATATTACACTTCAATTCTGATCTCGTGATCTGACTTTAATACGTATAACTTAAGCAATCGATTTTTTGCTGATTCATATAGGAAGAAATAAAGATGCTGGTGAAATTAAACTAGAGTGGTGATTGGTAAATGATAATATATCAATACTCGATTACATAACCAAATCTTTGTTATATAGTTCTTTCTAGTACACATGACCCTCGTTAATATCAACCTAAGCCACAAGACAAATTTTTAAAATTTTTATATATTAAAATTCCCTTATATATATCAACTTTACTATGATCCCTCACTAATATCACTATCAACATGAATATAAGAGTGATCCAAATGGGTTGATATTAGCGAGGGTCAAGTGTATATCAATTCCAATTATCAATCTATATTTTTATCTGATCATCTAGTCAGAATCAAATATCTGACACCATGCTTCACTCGTTTTTTTTGTAAAGCATTACTAAACTATCAGAAGATGCAATATTAAATCTAAGTTTTTATTGTTAAATTGTTATCAAAATTAAACTAGATTAGTAAAGAATTGTTATTAAAGTTAAAATAAAATTCTAATTTAAATTTTATTTTTTATCATAAAATTGAATATATGTGTCAAGTTAAATGCAAAGATACAAATACAAATTACATAATATTAATTACAATTAATTTACAATAGGGCAAATTAAAAATTTTAATAATGAACGAAATTAGTAAAACTTAAATAGATTTGCTAAGTTGAAATCCAAAAAAAGGTGACGACGAAAGTGATTCGCGAACATTCTGTTTAACCGGCTCCGCTAT